GCCGCCCCCGGGGGGCTGACGATCTGCGTAATTGTCGCCACTTTCGTGGGCTCCTGGGAGGCCCAGCGGAGGTAGGTCCCACGCGGATTACCTCGGTACCTCGCCGCCCCCTGGGGGGCTTGCGATCTGCGCAACTGTCGCCACTTTCGTGGGCTCCTGGGAGGCCCAGCGGAGGTAGGTCCCACGCGGATCACCTCGGGACCTCGCCGCCCCCTGGGGGGCTTGCGATCTGCGCAATTGTCGCCACTTTCGTGGGCTCCTGGAAGGCCCAGCGGAGGTGGGTCCCACACGGATCACCTCGGTACCTCGCCGCCCCCTGGGGGGCATGCGATGTGCGCAATTGTCGCCACTTTCGTGGGCTCCTGGGAGGCCCAGCGGAGGTGGGTCCCACGCGGATGACCCCGATACCTCGCCGCCCCCTGGGGGGCATGCGATCTGCGCAATTGTCGCCACTTTCGTGGGCTCCCGGGAGGCCCAGCGGAGGTAGGTCCCACACGGATCACCCCGGTACCTCGCCGCCCCCTGGGGGGCTTGCGATCTGCGTACCCGTCGCCACTTTCGTGGGCTCCTGGGAGGCCCAGCGGAGGTGGGTCCCACGCGGATTACCTGGGTACCTCGCCGCCCCCTGGGGGGCATGCGATCTGCGCAACTGTCGCCACTGTCGTGGGCTCCTGGGAGGCCCAGCGGAGGTGGGTCCCACGCGGATGACCACGGAACCTCGCCGCCCCTGGCGATCTGCGAAATTCTCGCCACTTTCGTGGGCTCCTGGGAGGCCCAACCGAAGAACGTCACACGCGGATCACCACGGGACCTCGCCGCCCCTGGGGGGCTGCGATCTGCGCAATTGTCGCCACTTTCGTGGGCTCCTGGGAGGCCCAGCGGAGGTGGGTCCCACACGGATCACCTCGGTACCTCGCCGCCCCCTGTGGGGCTTGCGATCTGCGCAATTGTCGCCACTTTCGTGAGCTCCTGGAAGGCCCGTCGGAGGTACGTCATACGCGGATCACCACGGGACCTCGCCGCCCGCTGGGGGGCTGCGATCTGCGCAATTGTCGCCACTTTCGTGGGCTCCTGGGAGGCTCAGCGGAGGTAGGTCCCACGCGGATCACCTCGGTACCTCGCCGCCCGCTGGGGGGCTTGCGATGTGCGCAATTGTCGCCACTTTCGCGGGCTCCTGGGAGGCCCAGCGGAAGTACGTCATACGCGGATCACCACGGGACATCGCCGCTCGTGGGGGGCTGCGATCTGCGCAATTCTCGCAACTTTCGTGGGCTCCTGGGAGGCCCAACGGAAATACGTCATACGCGGATCACCACGGGACCTCGCCGCCGCAGGGGGGCTGCGATCTGCGCAATTGTCGCCACGTTCGTGGGCTCCTGGGAGGCCCAGCGGAGGTGGGTCCCACGCGGATCACCTCGGTACCTCGCCGCCCGCTGGGGGGCTGCGATCTGCCCAATTGTCGCCACTTTCGCGTGCTCCTGGGAGGCCCAGCGGAGGTACGTCATACGCGGATCACCACGGGACATCGCCGCTCGTGGGGGCTGCGATCTGCGCAATTCTCGCCACTTTCGTGGGCTCCTGGGAGGCCCAACGGAAATACGTCATACGCGGATCACCACGGGACTGCTTGCTGCGCTCTTCTGAAAGCATTGTTGGGCGCTCTTTCTGCGCACTGCGGGTCTTTCAGAATGCCAGTCCGCATTGAGTGGTCCTGAATATAATCGCCACATGTATAAAGAGGGTCGGGTACGTCACAGGGAAGTTTGATTATGTGTTGACTAGTTGGGGTATGTTTTGATCATGTTTGATTTTTCGTCCAAGATCCGCCTGAAGGAGGACATGTTCGACCAAACCCAGTAGGACCCAAAGAAGGCCCCAAAGCTCTCAGACGAGACGGGAAGGCCACAAGGCGCTCCCGAGGGAGTACCAACATTGAACAAACATGTTTGGCCGCCTCCAGGCTTCCCCCAAAAGCTTCCAAAGATCGAAGGTCAAGACGACCCCCAATAGAAGAACAACAACATCCAGAACCGTAATCGTTCACAAAGCTATGCAGATTCTTCAGATCGGCGTTGGACACACCCAGCGCCAAACGCGGCGCCACCATGAATCCCAAACACAAATCCAAGAAAATCACGCGGACCTCCCAAGATGCCCCACTGTCGCTTCAGAGCGAAACCTGGAACACCCAGTACTGCCCAAGACGGCCCCTGAGCGGCCCGAAATGGCGTCAAGGTGCTCCACAAAAGTGTCCCGAGATGGCCCCGACATTGCCTAGGACGGTTCTGACGTGGCCACAGAGAACACGAAATGTGGGAAACCAACGAACACCGATACCACTACTCCCCAGACCTTTCCCGTGGCGTTTTCTGACCAGGATTTCAAGGCGAAGCCAACGGTGGCGACGAAGGCGTTCCAAAAGGGCCCAAGAAAGGGAAACCGGGCGGGGGGTAGCGGAGTGAGTTTTTACGGAGCCTACAAAAGACTTGCGTGCCCAACCACGAACACGAACACGGCCCTCCAATCCGCGAGACAAGCCTCGCGATACGATCGTTCATGCAATCCGAACCCTCGAAACTGACGCGGATTCGTGTTAGTGCGCGGCCGGACCTAGGACATGATAACATCCCTCACGAACACGAGGCCCTCCGCTGGCTTAACTGACCAACATTCGAGAGTACCCGCACTCAGGTTTGCACATCGCCATCCAGCAGACACGACTCACATTGTAGTACCCTCCCCGAATCCACCTCGATCTTGGACCTCTCCTCCTCCTCCTCCTCCTCTGCCTCCGCCTCCGTCTCCTGCACCTCCACCTCCTCCTCCTCGCCCTCCCCCTCCTCCTCACTCCTCCCAACTCCTCCCAACTCCTCCCCCTCCTCCTCCTCCTCCTCCTTCGGTCCGACCGCGCGCCCCTCCTCCGCTCCATCTGTCCTCCGGCGAGGTGCCGCAGAAAGGCACCCCCGGGAGGGCCCGCAGGCGCGTGCACGACGGCCGCCCCCGACAGCGGGGCGGGCCGGCTCGGGCCCGGGGGGCCGGCGGCAGGAGGGCGCAGCCCGAGCGTAAGGCCTGGTGCGCGTGGATCCTCGCGCGCCATCTGTGTCGAGCGAAGGCGAGGCGAGGACGAGGATCAGCTGCATTGCATCCTCGGGGGACCTCGTCTGTCCCGTCGCGGCCCTATCCGCGTCGAATCCGTGCCGAATCCATGTCGGCCTCGTCGGATCCGTGTCGAATCCGCGTCGAATGCCCGCCAAATCCGCATCGAGGCCGCATCGAGCCCGCGCCAGGCAGAAAAAAGACACCAATTTTGGGGAGGGGCGGGGTTCCCCGAAGATGCAACATAAGATCAGATCGGGCAGGGACGAGTTCCCTGACATGCTCGCGTGCTGAAAAGAATGTCAGGCGAGGCTCTGGGCCGTTCTGGATCCCTGAAGGCCCTTGCCCGGCGCCGGGGCCGTCAACATGCGACCCGTCCAGACGATCCTTTTATCATTGTTGATTAAGATCTGTAATTTGCTTGGTTCTTCTTAAATCTACCAAGGGCGTTGTTTTAACAGTTCTAGCTCGGCGTGCTGGAAATGTTGTTTCAAGCGCTTGAGGGCCCCAACCAGAAAACTAAAAGCGCTCGAAGAATGATTGATTTGTGTGTTCGTTTTCAGCCCCAATTTCCTCTCGTTTTCAGATCAAACGGTTGCATTACGAACCTTGCCGCCTATGACGTGGTCAGCTCCCCCTCCTGGCGCGCAGTCCTTTCCCCGGCGTGCAGTTTGGCGGGCCCAGTGGCCGATTGCCCCTCCTGAGATGATCGGGTTTCTGGGCCGGTTTCGGGCCAGTGTTAGACCGGTGTTAGAGCGTGCTGTAACGTCTTTTGGCTCAGGGAGGAAGAACGGCGGCAGGAACGAACGGGAGCGAAGACAGCAGGGAAGACAAGGAACAGTTTTTGACCAGAGATCAGCAACAACTATATAAAAAATGATGGCCCACAGCGAAAGGTCTACAAACGCTGAAACAACTAAGCTAAACACGCTGAACAACAATATCTTTGTTGTTCTTGCTTTTGTCGCTCGTCAAAGGCCAAAACTGTAAAACTGTGTTGGTGCCGTTTTTATGAGAAGTATCCATGGCGTCTTCATGGAGAAAATGGGTCATCAAATCTAACGATACCGAAGTATAATATAATTCGCCAGGACCCCGACACTGCAAGCGCTGGTTGGGGAAATGAAGCGCAGTGGTGTCACAGAAACCTTAGTGGCATCGCTAAAATGTAGTGGCGCAACTAACAATTAGTGGTATCATTGAAATGTGGTGGTGTCACTAAAACCTAAAAACAGGTATGAGAAAATGCTGGTCAAACTACAACCTAGTTCAATGCTTAAGAAAGTAATGATAAAAGTAATCTGGGCGGGATGAAACACATGTCCTTGGGAAAGGGTCGGGACTACCAAAATCAGAACGTCGCATGTCTGGGATCGGGTGAGGATGAATCGAGAATCTCTGAGATCTGGCAGCTCTGGAGGATGATGTTTCGGGCGCGCGGCTTTCTCAGAACGTTCGGGAAGGTTTTGAGAGCGTTCCAGACCGCTCGGGAACGTATTTATCCTCGTCCTAGCCCCGTCCGAAGACGAGCGCGTTCCACCACTCGCAAAGCAACTACTTGCAGATGGCCTGGATCCGCCGCGGGGGATTTACGATCCATTGCATCGAGGCGAACATGTATTTCTTTCCTGACGTCTGCGATTAGGCACTCTGCGAGCAATGGGAACACGCTCGGTGAAAGACTACCAAATTCGTGTCCTGTCGCTGGGCGCCCCTAGCAAAGCCGGCTGTCAGATCACCATCGGGGCGTCGCCCGTTCAGACGCCAAGCGGCATTGAGGATACGACGATCGACGCCCCAAACAGCAGGCTACCCTAATACAAAAGGTATGCAAACTCTGACCAAACTGCCAGAACGCGGTACACATGAATTAATATGGACTCTCGTCGCGCGAGGTCCAACGCTCACATCAAGTTCCGGTACCTCAACTTCCGTAGCTGCTTGGTAGGCTCTGGGAACAAGATCTGGCAGCCATCCTTCAAAAGAACTGGCTTGCACGAGGCTGGCACTGAGCTGTTCATGACGGCGCTGTTCTGGTAGCGGGCGACATTATTTTCGAGACCTTGGCAATGGCTCCAAGTCGCCTTGAACACCACCCCGAAAGGAGGCGACATGTCGCTGTCGAAACCACCATATGTGTGCATAAACTGCATGGCGATCTCAGGGGTAGTCCAATTCACAAAGGCATAGCCCAAGCCAACCATTGTGCTAAATTTGACGGGCACGTAAACAAGATCCACCGCCCCCTGTTTGCCGGGTGTGGCAATGTGACAGGGCGTGTAAGATGCTTACGTAGCACACCGCAGTTGCGGATGGGAGTGAGGGGGCGTCGGCAGTCTGCGAGGCTCTGAAGAAGCCCGCCGCAGGCGCCAAAATTTCCACAATTAGACTTGACTAACGGGGTTCGTACTTGATTGAGAATTGGTATGTCGGGACCCACCTTTGCCCGTTCCCCAGGCCTTCCTCGGGTTCCTCGGATTCCTCGGGTTCCTTGGGTTCTTCGAATTCCTCGGGTTCCTCGGGTTCCCCGGGTTCCTCGGGTTCCTCAGGTTCCTCGGGTTCCCTGGGTTCCCTGGGTTCCCTCGGTCTCCCCCTGGTTTCCAAGCAATGTCAAGCAATGCCAAGCACTGCCAGGCAATGCCATGCAATGCCAAGCAATGCCAAGCGATGCCAAGCGATGCTAAGCAATGCCATGCAATGCCAAAATATGCCGAGCACTGCCAAGCACTGCCAGGCAATGCCGAGCAGTGCCAAGCAATGCCAAGCAACGCCAAGCAGTGCCAGTCAATATCAAGCGTTGCGCCCAACGATGCGCCCATGCAACAGGCTTTCCCACAACTGGGGTCGCGCCAGTTTCATTACAAATTATACAACGAGCCCGTCGCTTAAAACGATGTGGGTGGGTCGCGGGTGGGTCGCGGGCCAAGTCGCGAGGTGCGTCGCAAGTGGGTCGCGGGTGGGTCGCGGGCGAGTCGCGGGGTGGGTCGCGAGGTGGATCGCGGGTGGATCGCGGGTGGATCGCTGGTGGGTCGCTGGTGGGTCGCGGGTGGGACGACGACAACAAGCAACAAACAACAAGCACCGAACAACGCATCAGCAATCCCGCATCTTGGAGCCTCACTTCAGCCACGCGACCAGGGACAGTGAATGACCGTCCGGGCCCATCTCTGATCTCCCAGCTCCCCTAGGCCACCTGTTCCCACCCACCCCCCTGGGGGTCCAAGATGTTGCTGCAGTGCGGGGGCCATGAGCGCGCCCACGCAATTCCTGGACCCCCAGCGGCCCCCAATCTGGCGACCCCCATCTTGCCAACCAGTCATACAGTCGGGGCGTTGACCTAAGGAACACTAGATCGAGAACGAGGCCTCTTTTTCCATGCGTTAAGCTTCGATTTCCGATCGAAAACATAAGGAGAACCCGAGGCAATCTCTGAAACACTTCAGGCACACGGAGCCCCTCCCCCAACGGAAAGGGTTCCTTCTTCAGGGCCCCGACTGTACCTCAAACCCTCCCCGAACAGAATCGGCCCACTGTACCTCAAACCCTCCCCGAGGAGGGGGAGGAGGAGGAGGAGGAGGCGGAGGAGGACGCGGAGGGGGGAGGAGGAGGAGGAGGGGGAGGAGGAGGCGGAGGAGGAGGAGGAGGAGGAGGAGGCGGAGGAGGAGGAGGAGGAGGAGGCGGAGGGGGAGACGTGCTCCCTCGCTTCTCCCACGGGCGCCGTCCCTGCCCGCCCTGTCGCGCGCCGCGCCCCTCCCCGACGCGTCCCCCCGGGCACGTCCTCGCGTGCGCCCGTGGCGCACTCCGTGGCGCGCCCGCGGCGCCCTGCGACCCGCGTCGCCAAGTCCCGCTCCGGAGCCGAGTCGGATCTTGCGTTCGAGCCGATCTCGCCATCGCTCGGACATCCATTCCCCGTGCACGATTCGGTTTTTTGTGTGTGCGTGTCTTTTCTTGCACAGTGGCCCAAGAGGCGCCTCGATGGCCTTCGCCGAGAACAACTGCCCACGCCCGAGCGATGCCAAGTGATTGAGCGTCCCACACGTTTCGGCCGCAGCCAGCTCTGGGCCAGCTTTGCGTTCAGGCAGCTTGAACTTCAGATCCAAATCAGTTCGATCAGGACTCGGGTACCAACAGCGATTTGACCGACAGCACTATATATAACATAACGCATTGCGTCGCGGCATGACGTATCTCATGTCAGCCAGCACGGCACAGCGCAGCACAAACCATGGCATGGCACAACAAAATCGATATTTTCAACATTGAAGTTCCCCGTCGCCCAACTAGGCGCGTTGACAACGTAGCCATGCCTCGCGGCAGAAGGCGAGCCACGGGACGCGCCGATTTGAGGGGCCTAGGCTAGGCCGTCCCGCTTTGGGGGATGAGAAACTCAGGTGTTGTCACGGTCGTGCCGCTCTGAAGCATTAGGAACCAGTGCGTTTTCAAATTCGGCCCGCGCTGGGACTCTTGGAACCCACGTGGTTTTACGTTTGTCCCGCTCTGGGTCGTTAGGGCCCCACGCGGTGTCACGCTCGTCCCGCCCCAGGGCGTGAAGATACAATGCGTTGTCCCGCTTGTCCCGCGTTGGGGCGCTTGGAACGCATGCGATTTCACGCCCGTCCCGCTTTGGGGGCGTTGCGGGCCCACGTGATCCCACGTTTGCCCCGATCTGGGGCGTTAAGAGCCAACGCGTTTGCACGCCCGTCGCTCAATGGGGCGTTGGGAACCGGCACATTGTCACGATTCTCCCGCTGTGGGTCGTTAGGGGCCCGCGCGGCGTCGCGTTTGTCCCGCTCTGCGGCGGCAGGGGCCCGCCCTTTTCCGCGCCTGTCCCAATCGGGGGCGCTAGGGCCCCACGCGTGTTCGCGTTTGTCCCGCTCTGGGGCGTTGGGGGCCCGCGTGTTTTCGCGCGTTGTTCCCTCTCTGTGGCGCTCGGGGCCCAAATGTCGTCGCGCCTGTCCCGCTCTTGGACATTGAGAACCCGCGTCGCGTCGCGCTCGCGCTGCCCTGAGGCACTAGGAACACGCGCGTTCTCGCGCCTGTCCCGCCCCAAGGTTACAGACCCGCGCGTTTTCGCGCTCGCGCCGCTCTTAGGCGCCGAGAACCAATGTTTTCGTACTTGTTCCGCCCTGGGGCGTTAGGGACCTCGCCGTTTTCCTGCGCAACATGCTCAGGGCCGTTACGAGCCTATGCGTTGCCACGCTTGTCCCGCTCTGGGGCGTTGGGGGCCGCGATGTTCTCGCGCTCGCCCCGCCCCGTGGCGTTCGCAACCGATGCGTGTTCGCGCCCGTCCCATTCCAGGGCTGTCGGGCCCCGCGCGTTTGCGTGCCTGCCCTGCTCTGGCGCGCAAACGACCATCGCGTCATTGCGTTGCGTTGCGTCGCGCTCGCCCCGCGCCGCGGCGATTGGAACCCGCGGGTCGCCGCGCTCGCCCCGCCCCGGGGCGGTAACAAAACGCGCGTGTTCGCGCGTGTCCCGCCCCGGGGCGTTCGGGGCCCGCGCGTTTTCGCGCTCGCCCGGCTCTAAGGCGCCGGGGCCGAAGCGCGCCCGTGCTCGCCCCGCCCCACGGCGTTGACAACCCATACGTCGTCGCGCTTGTCCCGCTCTGGTCGCAGAAACCCGCGCGGTTTCGCGCGCGCCCCGCAGCGGGGCGATCGGAATCCACGTGTTTTCGCGTTCCTCCCGCTCGGGGGCGTTGGAAACCAACGCGCTTGCACACTCGACCTGCCCTGGCGCGTCGGCAACCCGCGCGGCGCCATGCGTGCCCCGCTCTGGGGCGCCAGCAACGCGCCTTGAAATGTCTCGCTCGGATGCCCCTCGAACCCGCGCGCTCCCACGCGGTCGCGTTTGCCCCTCCGCTGCGGCGCGCCAGGGGCCCGTGCGCATGCGGGCGCGCCCCGCCAGGGAGGGGTTAGGGGCCTAATTGTCGTCGCGCTCGCCCCGCAGGGGGGGCCAGGGGCCCGCGCGCCCCCGCGCGCCCGGGCCGCCGAGGAAGGACATCTAACCCACGATCGCGCGGACCAACCAAAGGGGGCGCGACTGCAAGAGCGCGTCAATGAATCGACACCAGATGCGCAATAACGGATCATTATGACGGCGGCCCCCCGGGGGCTCCCGGGGCGCCCCGAAGTCTCCGAGGACCGCTGGGCAACCGCGCGCGTTCGTCGCACCCGTCCCGCTTCGGGGCGCGAGGGGTCCGCCGGATTCGCGCTTGCCCCACCCCGGGGAATTCGGGCTCCGGCGCGCGCAGGACCACGCGCGCTTTCGCGCGTGTCCCGCTCCGGGGGGTTAGGAACCCATGCGTTTTCAAGATTGCCCCGCCCCTTCAGATCATGTGCGACCTTGGGCAGCGATCGGGAACGACTGGCCGCGACCGGCACGACCGAAATTTAAATGGATCGCTGTCCTCCTGTCGCCCATCCTCCCCGCAGTGCGCTTCGCGAGAGAATCCAACGCGGACTTGGCGTCGACGATCCTCGACCCTCCTTGCCGTTTGCCAGCTGCCACTAGCTCGGACACCTCATTCAGCCAGAGCGCCGTCCGCCCTGCGCTCGCCTCGGATTTGGCGTCGGCCCCCCTCCGAAAAGGCTGCCTCTCCAAACATGGCGGACATCCGCTCCGTCTCTCCAACGCGCTGAGACAAGGCCGTGGCCTCAGCTGCGAAGGGCGAATTGACTGATCTCTCGAGTCCAGAACCTCCGAGAGATGATGGAGACCCGTCCTGGCTCACCACGAGCACAACGTTTGTCTCTAATTCTAGTCACGTATGCCCCTTGCACTGATCATGACTCGCCCACGCCTAGTCCATCTTCACCGCTGGCGGCGATCATGACAGCTGCCTGGAGATCGCGCTTCGAGGGCGCCAGAAGTTAGCGAGGCTGTGTCTCAGCATATTGGCGGCTTCGTCGGCCATGGGGGTGTCCTCGCGTGGCCCCTGGAAGCCCCCGCGCCCGCATCGACGCGCTTCCAAGGGCCTCGGGCCTGGCCCCTCCCCCGACACAGTTCAGGCGATGCATGGGGGGGGGGGGTGGGGGGCGACTGGGAGATGACACATCTGGCCGCAGCTATGAATCACCGCCTGTCCTGCCTCTGGGTAGATGGACACGGGGGGCAACCTCCTCCAATATATTTTCCTAGTCTATCACCGCCCGGCCCCATCGATCTCCTCACTCTCCCACCAGAGGGCTCGGCGTCCGCCGTCTACGATTTGCGCGCGTGGGCTTATGCGAGGATGTCTTTGATCTGATCGCGAATCCAGGGCGCCGAGGAGGCTCGGGAGTCGTCGTCGCCCATCGTGACCTGAGACGCAAGACGCCCACCCTGCCCGGGAACCCAGTAGCATGGATCAAGTAGCAGTTTCTGGCGCCATGCCTGAGCGAGGGTCGACGCGGGCGTCTTGTGCCTCTCTAGTGGCGCGCCGTCTAGACTGCATGCCGCCACTTCCAAGTCGAACAGGCATACTTCCCCCGCGCGCGCTTCCGGCGCACCTCGGCAGCGCTGGACGTGCAAGGGGCCGCTGGCACGGCGAAGCTTCCTACTCCGAGCGCAAGTGCTTCTGGTCTGCCACGTCTTGCTCAAGGTCTGGAGATACCATGGCGAGCGCGCGCGCATTCATGCATATGTCTGTGGAGTGGGCGAGTGGGCGCTCATGGCCCCCGTGCACGGCTCGACGTGGCCGCGCGCGCGCCCCCGACTTTCGGCCGCGCGAGCGGCGCGTGAACCCCCCTGCGCCCGCCGCCCCCTCGGAACCCTCGCCGACAGCACTCTCGCCTCTCGACTCGGGGCCCTGAGAAGTCTGGGCCTGGCCAGCGTCTGACACGCGGAACTGCTCGCGCCCCCCTCGCGAAAGTCTCCGAGCGAGACCCGCCCGCCTCTTGAGGAGGCCAGGGTCCGCTCTCCCGTGGCCTCGCCGAGGCCGACAGCTGCTGCGGCTGCTGCGGCTGCGACTACCGCCCTGCCCGCCTCTCACACCTGCCTTTGCACTCGCGCGCGCCCTGAGGTGGCGGGGAGATGCCCGCGCGGGGTGGGAAGGCCTGCTCGGTTCAGCCCGGCGGTGAAGGCGGCGCCCCCGTTCCTCCCCTCAACTGATCTGCGGGGGGCCCGAGGTGCTCTGGGATGGGTGCGCTCCTCGACCGGCCCAGGCCCACTTGGAGCGCTCCTCTCATATCTCCGATGCCCTCGTCGGTCCCATGCTGCTGGGCGGCTCGGTGGGAGGCTCTGCCGATGCTGCAAACGCCGTGGGCCTCAGACGCGGAACTTCCACTGGAACCCCGGTGCGACGCGTCGCGGTCCCGGAGACCACGCGTCTACCCATCTCTGAGCGGGGGGGGGGGGGGGAGACGCGGCTGCTGCGGCAACTAGCGGTCGGGGGGCTGCTGATGATGCTGCTGCTGCTGTAGCGGCTGCGAGTCCGAGCTGATGGCCCGACAGTCCTGTCCGACGATGCCGCGTCTAGCTGTCGTAGAGCATGCGCCCTCCCTATCTCCAGGGGCGCTCGTGACCCATACTCAAGCGACGAAAGCCGGCCCGGTCTCCTGCGGCGCGCTGCCCCCGTCCATCGGCGCCCCCGCGAGCGCGCCGGGCGACGCGATCGCTCGGCTGCGGCGAACTGCCGGGCGCGACGCTCGACGCGCTGCGCGAGCGACTCTGAATTCAGCCCCTCGAACTCGAAGACTGTTTCAGGGCCCGGCGTTGCTCATCGCCGTCCATTTCCTTTACCAGGGCCGCCATCCTTGAAAGCAGGTTGATCTCCCAGTCGTCGCACGCCAGCTCGCTGGCCTGGAAATGGCCCAGGGAGTCAGCGCGCCACTCGAGCGCGCCGCGCACTCGCCACCGCGGCTCCAGCTGCCAACTTACAGCAATGCCCGAGTATTGTGCAGCGGTCGGATTAGAACGTCGGGCAGTCTTCTCTGAAATAGACGCTCCCCTGTGCTGGCGCGGACACGGAAAACAATCAAACCGCAGGATATAAGCCAGGTTATAATTGACCCTGCTCTCTCAAGGTGGCTGTTTTGCTACAGGAGCAACGCGCAGTGCATATGGAGAAACACGTGCCGGAGCAACTATATCACACTCGCGTCGTGCCCCCGGCGAGCCCGTGAACCGCTCGAGATCCTCGCGCGGGGAACTTCGATGGCAGAATCACCGGTCATCCTTTTTCGTGCGAAGGCAGATATTGGGAGAGGGGGGGCTGCGCATCTCCACGGCGGCGTCCAAAACTATCTTGGAACACGTCTCATTCCCAAACTCGGAACCGCATCCTGGCCCCCCTTGAAACCCTCTCGAAGCCTCCAAGATCAGCCCCGCTCGCCCAGAATAACGCAAATTCGGCGCCACCTGACCGCCAAGCCGGAACACCCGAAAACGTTGCCAACGCTTTGGGGCTCACTATTCCCGCACAGCCAGGGGTAGCCCGCGAGCTCTTATGACAAGGACTCAAACTCGCCCGCGGTATGTGGTCAGCGTGCGAGGATTTCAGCGCCGTCGTGGGTGTGCTCTAGGAGAATTGTATGTTGAACGCTTCGGGGCCAAACGAACTTGGGCCCTACCATTGGAGCCACTAGTGCCCCAGCGCGTGCCTGAGATGGAGGAAATTCGGACGGGGCTCGAGCCAAACACGTGGTCGTCTTTGGGCTGCGTGGAAGCACTCCTGGGCCGCTTGGGGGCCATTTTGCCCTACCTCGGGGCCCTCTCCGGTCCTCCTCCGCGCTTCGCAGGCCGTCTTCGGGCAGGCTGGGGCAAATTTTAGGAAAAAGTCTTGCCGCTGCTGGCCTCGACCTGTGGCGCACGTGGATCCAAAGGACCAGCGTCTGTGCTTTTGATCCGTTGTCATGATGGTGAGACGACGATGAGACCATCTAGCCATAAACCAGTCATGCAATACGTCTGCGTCCAGATGGCGATAGTGTGGATGTGAGCCGCCGGTTCTTTTTGTTCGGCATGTCTTTACTCAGGAATTTATCGGACGACAGCCACCGCCGCCGTCAGGGCCGCACTTTGCTCCTTCAACTTCACGACCTGCCCGCCGTCAGGGAGCCGCCGCCACCGTGGTCGTCGTCGTCGTCGTCGTCGCCGTCGCCGTCGTCGTCGTCGTCGTCGTCGTCGTCGCCGTCGTCGCCGTCGTCGTCGTCGTCGTCGTCGTCGCGGAGCCGCGTGCCGTTTTGCCGCTCCCCGAGAAGACGACGCGAAGTGGGCTGGCAGTGACCACCCAACGTCTTCATCGGTGCCAGAAGTACCCTTGGCCCAAGGTGCCCTCAGGATTCTCGAAGCGGCCCAGGAGGCCTCCAGGCCACCCCTCACGAGGCCCCGAGGGCCCCAGGGTCTCCAAAATAGAGCGACAAGCTGGGATCGCCTTGGGCCAGGGGCACTTCTAGCAGCATGCGACTGGAACTCTAACCACGTGGCCCCAGACCGGACCACGCTGGGGGGTACTATCTCAGACTCCCAAACCCCTCGGGCCATGCAGAAATCACGGCGGGAGGCTTCTCCCCATCTTCGGTCCGTGGGGGGCCTCCGTGCCAGGAGCCAGGGCCGTCGCAACGACGGCTCGGGCGGAAAAGATGGTCCCAGGGAGTGGGCCGAGACCTCTCGGCGGAGGGCAAGCCTCCCTTTCAATAACCACCCTTTCGTGAAAGCGGCCTAGGACCGAAACCGACGGACCTGGACCCGCAAAAATGACGGCCGCGAGGCCCTGTCGCGAACCGAAAATGGCCAATTCGCTAATCGACGCGTCAGGGAAGGAGGCCTATCAACCTCCGAAGCTCTGGGGGCCGACGTCATGAACAACATCATGACGTCGGGGGTCTGGGCTCACACGGGCTCAACACGGGCACGCTCGCGACCGGTCCAACCAGAGGCACTCAGGGGCCGCCTGGCGCCCCCGAGGGCCCTCTCTGGCACACTCTAGGTGCCTCTTGGGGCTTCTTGGCCCCCTCGTGCAGTCTCTGCGCCATGCTCAAAAATCTTGGAAGTGCTTTTGGTGGCAAACTAGCGCGACCGTATTGGACTTCGTTGGCATGTCTTCAGCCTGTCATGGGAAAGCCTTGAGCTCATTCGGCGAGGGCACGAGAAGGGCGGGCGCTGAACGCGGAAGCGCCTCGAATCGAACAGCTTGGAGTACCCCATCACGCCCAGCAGGGAAATCAGGTGGTCGGCCCTGTAAGTGGTGGGGAGGCCAGATACCCTCACCTAGGAGACGCAGAAACACCGTGAACGTAAAAACTGTCGGAACTCGAAGGTGATTTCTTGGATCTGCGCTGGACACCCCTCCCTGGCGCACGGAGCGTGCCAGGGGCCGCGCCGGAGGCGCCGCCAGGGGGGCCGAGCGCAGAGCCAAGAACTCCGTGCGGAGCTCCGTTTACGCCTGCACAGATGTTCCTCCCTCGATCATCTCACCGTCGTCGGCGCTTGCGCCTCGGCCAGCCCCCACGGACAGGGCTCGGGCACAAACGCGCTCGTGGCTGCCTTCGGTGCGGGGCGCGCCGCAGGGACGTGGGGCAGGGCGCCTGCGCGCAGGCGCGTGCGCGGCGCCGGTGCGGCGCCGGCAGGCTCCGGGAGCCCCTGGGCCGAGGGTGGGCACTGCGGCGGGGACGTCAGCCACACGGGTGCCGGCAGCGTGCTCGGTGGGGGTCCTGCGGTGGACTCCGTGGACAGGGAAGACCGCGGAGAGGCGCACGTGTTTGAACCAACCTTGGACGAGTCCCAGCACGCGTCGTCTGTGTGGCCGTCGTCGGTGTGAGAGTTGCTCGCGTCGATCCGATTCAGCGGGGACATGGAACTGAGTAAATGAGTCCGACTCAACATACGTGAAGAGTTAGAGACTTTCCAAAAGTACTTGAGCCCAACATGCAGACGAGGGTAACGATGCTGATGATGATGCTGATGATGATGATGACTAGCCGGCCGCTCTGCGGTTGATCGGGAGTTTCTGTATATAGAGAAAAGGCGCGTGCGCCTGTGCTCGATGACGATGGTGAGAATGAGCGGGTGGCGTTGGTGCGGCGGGTGAGGATCGGGAGAGCGAGGATGAGGAGAATGAAGATCAGGGAGGGTGAGGATCGGGCGGGCGGGGATCACCTGGGGGTCCCTGGGGGTGCGCTGGGGGCCGGCGTTGCGATTTTGCAAGGGTGTCTCGAGCGAGGGCGCCGGGTTGGGACACGCCCGGCGCGCCCGGTGCAGCGCCGGAAATGGCCCGCGTGGGGGTGCGCTGGGGCCCGTGGGGGGATTTTGCGAGTAAGTCTCGAGCAAGGGCGCCGTGTCGGGGCACGCCCGGCGCGCCTGGTGCGCCCGGTGCAGCGCCGGAGATGGTCCCTAAGGGTGCGCTGGGGGCCCGCGTGTGGCGGTTTTGCGAGGATGGCTCGAGCGAGGGCGCCGGGTTGGGACACGCCTGGCGCGCCCGGTGCGCCCAGAGCGGCGCCGGCGCGGGCCCCGGTCGCCGAGCCGCAAGCGCGATCCCGCCGACAGCTGCTCGCCAGGGTCCGCCCCCCGCCACCGCGCGCTCCGCTCGCCTACGCAGCTCGAGGGCGACTGCGAAGCTGGGGGCGAGCGCCCGGCGTCGCCGCGCCGCCTGGGGGACCGACCCCCGAAGAAGCGCACCCCGGCTAATCTCCAGGGGCCCTGGGACGCACAAATCAATGCACACAAATCGCAGGAGGCCCCCTATTTTCCCATATTTTAGGGGTGGCTGTCTTCCCCCCGCTACCCAACATTTCCCATCTCATTCCTGGGAGTCGACGACGAATTTTTGTCTCTGTGTGTGTTCTCTCCCCTCCTGATACTCTTAGCGAGAACGACTTGCCGGTGGAATCGGAACGCACGACCTGCGCGGCGGCTGGACTTCGCCGGGCGCCCCTCCGCCCTCTTAACTCCCCGCGTGCCCTGCGCGCGGGCCCCGCGGCATCGCGCCCGAGATCGGCGTGGCGCGAGGCGAGGCGGACGGGCGGCCCGCGGCGCCGCGGGGCGGGCGGGGAGCTCGCTCTCGGCGAGCGAGTCGCATGCCTATCGCCTATCGCGGCCGCGATCGACTGGGCCCCGCAGCGCACGTGCCCGCGCGCAAGAGTAGGCCGCGCTGACAGTTTCGCGAATTTGACCTAGCGGACCGATCGCGCCAGGATGGATCGGGTCGGGCGAAAGGGGGGGATAGCAAAGGGGGGGGGTGAGAATCAGCCCGCGCAGCTGATTTTCCCGGCGCCTCCCGGCGCCGGAGGCGGCTATGCATCGAGGAATGGGCCCCTCGGTGAGGCCGAAACCAGCTGCATGCAGCAAATTTCGTACCCCCCCCTTTCCCAAATCCCCCACTTCCGCCCGGCCCGAATGGAGTGAACGGGGAAGAGCGAGGCGCGGCCATCGAGCGGGCCCTGGGGGCCGAGGGGCCAGGTGCGTTTGAGCCTCGAGGAGGAGGGGGGGCAATCGGCGGAAAAGGCAGCTACGACGGACGAGTTCCCCGACTTGCGCAGGCTGAAAATGTCGTAGGCTTTCACCGGGCCGAGTAGCGTCAGAGCGAACTGCAATCCGAGTCCGCAAGTCGCCTCAACGAGGACAGCTCGCGCAAAAGCAGCGCGCAAGACAGGAGGGGCCTCGCGCGGCTGCGTCCCTGAACTAGCAGCTGGTCGGTGGCTCCTGAAGTGGGCGCAGGGCCAGATCCCCATCGTTGCGGGAATAGCGCCATCTGCGCGGCCGCCCCCCCCCGACCTGGGAGGGCCAGCGCAGATGGTGAGCAGTGTCTGCCGAGGCTCAGAGGCCGACGGCCTCTGCGTCGTCGACCAGGCTGACAATGCCAGCGCGGCCGCCGGGCAGCCGCTGGATATCGACCGGGCTGAACCCTCGAGCTTGACTGGCGGGCAATCGGGGATCTTCCGGCCCGGGTCATTCCAGACCGGGTCGGTCAGGTTTTGCAGGATCCTGCGGGATCCAGCACCCAAGCCCGGGCCAATGCGAACCTGGCCCTGCGGGGCCCCGCAAGCTCCGGCACTCCGGCCGACCCGCGTGCGCATTGACCACCATCTCGCCCTGGGGCAGCCCGGCGACGATGCCCCCCGCCGTCGCCTGCCGGAGCGGCGGCAGGGGGGCCCCGCGCGCAGCAGCGTGGAGGCTCCCACGCGGCCTGGGCGGAGTCGGCCTTGGCGGTGCCCATATCCTGCCAGACGGGCTGCCGCCGGGCCGTCTTGGCGGCCATGATCGCCACGGGGCCCGCCGAAGCCCCTGCGGAGCCCTGCGCGTCACCCAGGGCCCGAGCCGCTCGAGGGCCAGACCGCTGGCAGTCATTGGCCCGCGAGGCGAAGGCCAGAGTGGACGCCGCCAGGGCGCCGCCCCAGGCTCGCGCAAGCCAGCCCGACGTGCTGTCAAGAACCTGCTCGAAGGTCAGATCGACGGCGTCTGAGGGGCTGAAAGAAGGTGCGGTTCATGTCGGACCAGTGGCCGAGGCTCAAACAGCGCGGCCGTGGGCTGGGCGCCACCCTGCTCCACCAGCTCGCTTATGAAGGTGCGCAGGGTGGCCCGCTGGTGTAGATCGTGCTGGTGACGACGAACAGCGACGAATCGAACCACAAGCAACTCCAAAGTCCACCTGGGTGACCTCACGCGGGCCCGCCATGGGGACGGGCGAAGCCTGGCCCGTCTGAGGCGGGGGAGGCCTGCTGGGCTGCAGAACTGGCCTCGGTCGACTGGGCCCTGGTCTGTGATGAGCAGCGCCTGCTCGACGGCGCGCGCGCACGGCGCCCGCATCCACCTCGGCTCCTCCAAGGAACGCCCATGCCCCGCACTGCGCCCTGAGCTCCTGCAGCTCGGGCGTGGGGGACGGCTACCAGCCGCTGGCTCCAAACGCCGAGGTCGACGCAGAAGGGGGCAGTGGCCTGCCCGGGCGCGCCTCCAACGGCCGGCTGGTGGATGTCGCCACAAGCGCCCCGAGGCAGCTAGCTCGGCGGCTCCTGCCAGCGAGCGCTGGCTGTCTGGTTGGGCCGCATCCTGGGGGAGAAGCCTCGACTGGCCATCGCTCGGACGTCCATTCCCTTTGTTTTTTGCGGTTTCGTGCGTGGCCTCTTCGCCAAATGATCAAGGATGCTCCTCGACGGTCCTCGCCGAAGGAAGAATGCACACGTCCAAGCGATGCCAGGTCGATGGGAGGGGTGCCGCGACGTCCAGAATCTAGGGCCACCCGTGGGCCCACCACGAGACCACGGTGCGCACGGTGGCGCGACCTCGAGCCAGCCCGTGCCGCGCCTCTCGCCTGGGCCGATGTGTCACTCGACTGCGAGCAGCCGAGGGCCCGCCAGCAGAAACGCACGAACGATGACAATGACGACGCACGGCACGCGCTGTCAGCCCCAAACCTGTCAACAGGAGCGAAGTAACACACAGGTGACGACCGTGGTCATTTTCTCTTGAGGTAGAGGGCGAGAGGGCAGACCCCACGCACCCTGTGTGGGGTTTGGCTTGGGACGAGATCCGTAAATGGCCGCGAACTGCCGCTTGGCGACCCAAGTCTCGCCCCCTTTCGTGCCCTTTCCGCCCTTGGAGGCTGCTCCGCCGCCGTGGTGGTCACATCCAGCCGTTCTTGAGCAGCTCGATCGTCGTGCCGCCTACTTTGCGTGCTGAGAGATGGGTCCCGGCTGTGTCGATCACCTTGGACCCACTGCCGACACCACGGACAAGGCTGAGAGCCTTTGGGGTCCATTCCGAAGCGTCACCGAACGCGGGGATCACTGTCTTGTGCAGAATCGAGAAAAAAACGGCCGCCCGTGCTTGAACATGGTCGGCTTGCCTGGCTGGGCCGGCGAGGGCTCCAGCAAGCCAGGCGGCGACGACGAACACAGAGGCTCGAGGCGCAGGCCTCTTGGGATCCTGCGCCGGCGTGGCTTGTGCTGGACCTGCGCCCGATGGTGTGGCCACCTGCACTCCACCTCTGGGAAAAAAAAGGTCTCGTCTGCAGGTGGGGCCACCTGCTCGACACCGCTGGGGGCGTCCGGAGGCGTGGCCATGTCCTCGCCGCCGCTCGGAAAGGGATCGTCCAAACGAGCGTCCAGGTCGTCGAAAGCGCCGTGCTCGTGCTGGAAGCCGACCGTGGGATTAGGAGAAAGAGCGTGAATGGGCAAGCTCCAAGACGCCAACCTCGAGCCCAGCTGTCGCCCGCAAGGCCCGCATCAAAAACGAACAGCATGCGCAGCGGAGGCGTGCTTCGACCACCAGCTCGTCAGCGGCCCTGGTGGGTGCGCTATCGGGTGGGGGGAGGGCGTCGACCGGGGAGTGGGGCGGGCAAGCAGCGAAAGGAAAAGGGGAAGGAAAAGGTGAGAAGGAAGAAATCCTCCACCACCCCTGCTCCTCCACCTCTTCTTTCCCTTCCCTCTCCCTCACACTCTGTTTCCTCGCGCTCCTCCTCTGAGGACGTCAACCTCGCAATCCATTTATAATCAATTCCTG